CAATTACCGTAGAAGACGAGTGTTAATATTAGGGCATGAGCAGTCCCTGACACTTTATAAGTTTGTTCCTTCTGCCTGGAACAATTTTCTTTGGAGACACAACTTTTATCAGGGTGTATATGGTATATATGCAAGTTTCTTTTCTCATTAGTTAAGCATATAACTTGGTAAGCCCTCCCAATGACTAAGTTTTTATGTCTTTTCACTGCTCAGGAATACTTCCTTCTAGTATTTAGTTTCGAAATGTGGAGAATAAAAAGGGGAAATCTTTTTCCTAAGTGATTATTAGCATTTCTCTCTATTTCCATTTTCTACTTTCCCTAATTCCTATTGTTTCATTAGAGAATTGTATTTCATTTTTTAAACTTACTTATGATAAACACAATATTTGCTCATGATAATATAAATGAAGTGTAAATAAGAATTTAAAATTAAAAATTAAAAAAGAAAGCATTTCCACTGTCCACTTCTTACTTCTAGTCCCACTAATGGAGTTAATGTAAAGTTTTGTATGTTTCCTTGCATGAGTCTAATAAACGTATTAGTAATATGTACACACATATACACATGCATGTGCTCTTTTTACACAAATGGGAATATTCTATGTTTCTTTCTTTTGATTTTATTAACTTAATAATGCATTTTGTATTTTAATTATTTTAATGACTGCACTTAATTCAATTTTAAAGTCAATCAATTTATAGCAACTCCCCTATCATTCGATATTTATGTTATTTCTAATGCCATACTATTGCAAATGCAGTAGACTTATTTTTCTGTATTTTTGTGCAAATATATTAGTAAAGTAAATTTTAACAAGGTAATTACTAAGTCAAAGTGTGTGATTTCATTTTTGACATAGTTTACAAAATTATCCTCCAAAAAAGGATGGTTGTACCAATTTACCCTTCCAATCCCAAGTATGAAACCTCAGCAACACAAGATATTATCAGTATTTTTGACTATTTAATAGATGAAATTTGTTTTCACTTGTTTTTATTTATAAAATAAATTATGACAGAGGTTAGGAATCTTTTCACTTACGTAATGCCCATTCTCAATTATGACAGAGGTTAGGAATCTTTTCACTTACGTAATGCCCACATGCATCTCTTGTCTCCAAATAAATTATGACAGAGGTTAGGAATCTTTTCACTTACGTAATGCCCACATGCATCTCTTGTCTCCCCTAATTTTTTGGTTCTTATCTATTAGCTTATTCATTAGTGCACTGAAATATGTATATGTGTAACATATATTATATATAATATATGTATTTACACACATTACAGAAACTAACTCTGAAATCTGACATTGTTAATAATCTGTTTTACATAAATAAAAAATAATTGACATATTAATTAAACTTTTAAGATTTTAGGGTTTGTTTTAAAAGCCTTGCTCACTGCAATATTGTAAACAAATTACTCCCTTTATTCTTACAGAACTGTTATGGTTTCAGTTTTCTACATTTAAATCTCTGTTGCATCTGGAATTTATATTGTGTGAAGGGTAGGTTAGATAAACAGCTCTTTTTTAATGAATATATAGTCAGTTGCTCTAACACAATCTTTTAAACAATCCTCTCTTCCTGTCTTGATTTAAAATGCCACCTGTATGAAATCCTAAATCTCATTTATTAGTATGGCTGTGTCTGTACTCTTGACAAACAGTGGTCATTAAAGTGAGATCCATAGATCTCCAGGGGTTTCATGTGATTCTTACACTGTTTATAAAGAAAAATGTTATTTTTCTACTGTGTTATGTTTGCAGTGATGGTGCAAAGACATGGTGGATAAAACAGGTGGCACATAAGCACAAAACAAAGCAATGACATCAGATTATACTAGCAATCTTTATATTCTTCACTATCATGCACTCACAGTAAAAAAAAGAGAAAAATTAAACAAGAAATCAATGTCACTAAGAATATCCTTAATAAATAAGTAAAAATTTTCAGTTTTTAATATCTTAAAACTCGAATATTTTTAATGTTCTGTGACAAAACGGAAAAATATTTACAAAGCATTTCTTTTATCTGCTAAAATTCAGTGGTTCCCTCAAGGAAAAGGACTTGTGTGATTGATTTTTGTGCTAAACTAGCCACCTTTTATTTCACAGAATACTGTTGTTACTTAAAAGGATAGTTGTGATACAAACCATGGTTATTCAGACTTGGGGTATGTGGCAAATATTTTCTCAAAAATGAATAAAATGAGCCTACCATCCCAAAGAAAACACCTTGACTCTACTTGTTGCCAGTGATAAAATACATGTTTTTAAGAGAAAAATTAGAATTTTGGCAAATTCACCAACATAAGTATGATGGTTTCCCAACACTGAAAGGCTATTCTGAAGATATTGGTGATAAGATAAATAAATGTAACGTTTTTATATTGTGTAGTGAAATCTGTCATCACTTGGGAGGTCTGTATAACCCAATGAATCTGTATTTTCCTGATGACTAATGCATTATAATACCAAATTACACATGAGTAAAAGATCCATTTAAAGTGCAGAATAGACCAATGGAGTATAAGGTAAGAGTACAAAAAGTTCATTGATAGGGTTTTAGGTTCCATTTTGCAAAAACGTTAAGAAACTACCACTTGTAGAGTTTTAGCATATTTTCAAAGAAGGATATCCACAGTTATATGAAAGGTGATTAAAATACCTCTCCCTTATCAACTCTACTAAATATCAGTGTGAAGCCAGATCTTCATATATTTCAAAGAATCATGTCATAATAGATTGCATGCAGAAGCTGATAATCCAGCTAGCTCTTTTCCACCAAGCCACATACTAAAGATATTTGCAGAACTGTAAAACAATGCCACTCTTTTTACTCATTTTTTTTTTTGTTGTTGTTGTTCTGGAGGATATAATTTTCTGATTAAAAATGTTACTTATGTTAACATGTCATAAGATTAATATGATTTAAAATGAGATAACACATAGTTTAACGTTTTCTCAGTCTTCATTTCTAATGCAATAATTATGAATGGATATAAATCCAAATAAACAAAAGGTATTTGAGGTTCTCAACAAGTGTCTAAGACCAGAAAGTTTGATAATTGCTGGTCTGTATCATAGTTCCTTTTCCTTCTTGGTCTCTCTGTCTCCGTCTCTCTCTGTCTCTCTCTGTCTCTCTCTGTCTCTCTCTCTCTCTGTCTCTGTCTCTCTGTCTCTCTGTCTCTCTCTCTACACACACACACACACACACACACACACACACACACACACACGCGCACACACACACACACACACACACACACTCTAGCTTTTTCTTCCCCCCTTTTCCTGAACCATATCTAATACTATGCCAGGATTATACAACTTAATCATTTTACATTAATAATATTTTTCTTAATATTTAAAAGAGCTAAGCCATTTCCATAACTCTTCTTACCCTAAATTTATTTTTATATTCTGAAATACTTATTTTTTTCAAATCAACTTTAGTATTAAACTGTGATATTCAAAGAAAACTTGGTATCTTAATTGGAATTTAATTTATATCTTTGATTATACCTCAGATATATCAATTATCTTAGAGAGAATCAGCATCTCTATACAAAGGCAAACATATATAATTTACTTAAATTTTCTCTATTTGTTTACCTATATATTTTGAAGGGTAAGTGAAAATAGAACCCTAGATTTCCCCATGGAAATATTATGTATCCAAACAGTGCCCTTGTTATACCCCTATTTTTTATGGGCATGTTAGTAGTAAGTTTACAAACTGCTTGAAATCAGGAATCATGTCCTTTACTTCTTTGCATTTTCCATGCACATAGAAGTTAAATAAATATGTGTTCCTTTTTGTAACTTACTGAATTTTTATTAATCTCTAACTACAGAAAGCATTTTCATTTCATTCATAATTAAGGCAAATATGATTATATTCATACTAATATTTTAATGATGTAGACAACTTTTTAAAGATATTTTTAATTCCATTAGACTGTAAATTTTAATTAACATTATATGAGAATAGATATAGAAATGGCAGTATTATAGATTTCAGTTTTGAAGACTCGGTCTTTAGTTTCATTTTTCATGTTTCATCACATGTTAACCAGAAGATTTCTCTTAGCTGTTTCTCAACTTTAAAATAAAAACAAACAAAAATATGCTATACAGGATGGACAAGGAGAAAAATAAAACCAAATCCTTTTTACTGTCTGTTTTGTATCACTTTGCAGTACCAGCATGTGGCTTTTGTTCACGCTTGATAATCTAAAATACACAAAATTTAATATGAATGCCAGTCATTATTGCTAGAAAAAAATGGTCTGTTATATACAGCTGTGTTTAGAAGAATGTATTGTTTATAATGTTTTAGATATTCAAAGTATTTTGGCAGTTTAATGGACATGTTCTCCTTAAAAATGTTTACATATTTTTGAAAATTATTATTGATGTAACAAGAATTCTAACTATTAAAATAGACAAATCATTTGTGAGCTTATTAAAGCAAAACAATTAAAAAGTACTTTTAACAATCAGGTGTGTAAAATTATACATAATCTCAATAAGCCGTTATGGTAATATGCCTAAACTATCCAAATCAAATAGGAAATTTAAGATAAAATAATGAAGAATGTCCAAAAAGAAAATGATAGATAGCCTACCTTTACTAAAAAAGGAAAAAGTACCTTACAAGATTTGGAAAATATAAATGAAAATTTTAAATGCTCAATAAAAAGTGAAACTAACCAATATTTTCAGTGTATTACTGATGTTTAACTCCTTTTATCTAATTGATGAATTCTATGCAATTGAATTTGAATTATATACACTATATGATGATGACATTACATTTAAAATTTTATAATTTCTTTGTGTATACAAATTTTAAATTTTTTAAAAATTATTTTGACAGGAAAGGCAATGTAGCAGCTCTGAAAATGAACTCTTGAAATGAGTAATTGCTATTTGATTTTTCTGGGGGAAAACCAACCTAAAGTAACAATCTTTGTTGATGCTTGCTCAGATCAGGTGGACCAAAACAGCAGGAAGTGCCTCTGACAGATTCCAAGACTCAAGTGTCTTCAATGAGACTTTGAGGATTACAAATATTCAGCGACACCAGGGAGGCCGGTATTACTGTAAAGCAGAGAATGGCTTGGGGTCCCCAGCGATAAAGTCAATCAGAGTGGATGTGTACTGTAAGTAAATTTCCCAGGACACTATGATTATGCCTGGTATGGGTTTCTTCTGTCCTACAATGATTGTTTTCTCAAACACCATAAATGTAGTTCTGTTTAGTTGAGAATAAACAGGATATGATGATGATAGCTCCATTAATACATTTCTGAAGAAAGGAATCTATTAGAAATTTTCACATTTTTTATGGCTTAATAGTACATATTAATTATAGAACTTTAGGAACAACATTATCAAGAAGACAATAAATATTACTGGCAATTCCAGCAATAACTGTTAGTGTTTTAATGTATACACTTTTAATCTTTATATATAAATATACACATGCATTTCATATTTTTATGAGTTAAGGGTCATGCTGTATATACTGTAACTTGTGTTTGTTCATTTTGCCTGTGTGTGAATAAAGGTATACTTTTTTAAATGCATATTATGTAATCAGAACAATCTGAATTGGCTTGTGAATTACTAAAAATCTCTATGTAGAGTCTGTTTCTTCATCCAACCCTGTTGAACATAATCAGCACTGAACCTGGGCAATGCTGGGCCACCTGAAAAGTGTTTGTTGATTTATTTTTTGTTTTTAGTCTCATTTTTCTATTTTTTGCTCTTGGCAAATGTATTTGAACTCTTATTGGTCTCCTTACTTCCTTCCCCCAAAATCAAGGGCCTGCATTTAGCAAAGTCTTTTGTGAAGATTCATCTATTACAACCATTATCTTTATACGAGAACTTGCATTTTGTTTTTTAAGTCTCTGATGTTAGAATATAAGGTATTTTTATCTCTCCTTAAAGTAATTCAGACATAAGTAACAAGTGACGAGTTCCTGTTTTTCTATCTTCCTTTCTTTACCCCTTCCTTTTTTTCAATGCAGGGCAGATGTTACATAGTTAGGAAGGGGCTTGAAATTGTACATGATCTATTTATCAGAACCTATGCTGAATTTCATTTAGGTTTTCAGGTGACTGGAAAGTGGGTGACAGAGCTGCATTTGTGATTTGCCTTCCACATTCAGGTGCATGCTTCCCTCCTGAAAAGGATGGGAGAGAAGTTCATTTTTCATTCTCTCCGGTATCTTTTAGCCCCTAAAACACTTCTGACAATTTTGGCACCTTCATCCCATGTGCCACTCTTTGCTAACATTATGGATGCACAGGTTGGCCATACCTGTACACCTCCCAACCAAGGATAGCCCCGGCTTCTCTTTTTCTGACCAAATTTTTCCAGTATTTTTGTTTAAATATAATTTTAAATTAAACTAAATATAACTTAAATGAGTTAAATACTTCTGTAATATAACTTTCTGGACTACCTATCTCTGCTTTTTTTTCTTATTGTAGTTTAGATCTTGAAGTTTTAAAATATACATGTTCAGTACCTTAAACACAAGTGTAAAATCTAAAAAAAGTTCTGAAAATTAATAGATGTATTTTGTTTTGTTGGTTTTTTTCTTTTAACTTTTGTTAGTGAAACCTGATGTGAACTAGTTTGGTGGCAAAATCGGACCTGAAATGACTTGAATAGAAAAATAGAAAAGACTTTATACTCTTTATTTACTCTACGTTGTATGAGTAATTACATGTTTCGCTCAGGAAATGTTTGATTACGCAGTATAGCCACAGATCCAGCTGGGTGTGTTGTGTAATAGATTGTATATGCACTATATTATCTTTATAATATCCAAAAAATTCTGAAACACTTTTCCCAAAGGTTATGAATATAGGACTGTGACCTGCATTGCTATCGCAATAAATTTGATAATAAAAAACAAATTGTATTGCTGGGTAAAAATTAAGTACAAAGGGGGAAATCACATTTTTAGACTTTAAAAAATTTTTTTTTTCTTTCCTCTTTTTACTACAAAGACTTTTCAGTGCTATTCTGCATGACACCTACTCTTTTCTGTCTGTTCATCAGGACTGTGACCTGCATTGCTATCACAATAAATTTGATAATAAAAAACAAATTGTATTGCTGGGTAAAAATTAAGTACAAAGGGGGAAATCACATTTTTAGACTTTAAAAAAATTTTTTTTTCTTTCCTCCTTTTACTACAAAGACTTTTCAGTGCTATTCTGCATGACACCTACTCTTTTCTGTCTGTTCATAGCTCTTTCTGTCCAGTATGGGCTTTGTCTATGAATCTTCATTCATACTGCACATCTTGCTGGAAATGATAACACTGTTCCCTTCAGTTTTCCCAACCTCTGCTAGTCTTTTAAGACTTGAGTCATCTTCCGTGTAGCCATGCCTGAAGGCACTAGTTATGTTACCTTCTTCTTTGACTTCCTTTGGTGTTATTGTCAGACAACCTGGACTTGACAAACATCTTGTTCTATGTTATTTAAGTGAAATGTCACTGTGATGCATACCCCATTGAAGTATGATTTTTAGTAATTTTTGGTGACTAAAATATATTAGAAACCTGTCGGGCCGAGCCCCGTGGCCCACTGGGGAGAGTGCGGTGCTGGGAGCGCAGCAGCGCTCCCGCCGCGGGTTCGGATCCTATATAGGGATGACCGGTGTGCTCACAGTGCTCACTGGCTGAGTGCGGTGACGCCGGTCTCAAAAAGGACAAAAAAAAAAAAAAAAAAAAAAAAAAAAAAAAAAAAATTT